TTTGGTTTTAAGATACAATTAGAGATAATGTATATATGATGAAAACCTGTCCATGCAGATGTGTGATCTACACTGGGGAAAATGGAGGTGTGTTACCCACCTCTCTTGGGCTTTAGCTCTCCATCTCTGCTGCGGGGATATAAAGGCATAAGCATTTCTCCTGTTAATGAAGGGACCTTAAAACAGAAAATAAATACACGCAGTTTTAGGGAAACAGTAACTGAAAATATTTCCATGAGTATTCCCAAATCTGTGCAAAAGCTCCTTAATTCATGCATTTCATGCAACCAGAGATTGGCAAAAATCAAAAGGCAATATAAAGTCGATTTCACAACCTGCCCCAACCCCAAGAAGCCAATAACCCATCCATGTGTCTTAGAGACTTGTCACATAGGCTACAGCAATTTTTGTTTGTTTTGCCTTAGAGCAATCACTTTGCCTTTGTTACTCTTGGTATCCCTAGTTGGTGTGCTTTTAATTCCTTTTGAGAAGAAATTCTCTCTGTCCTGAGTGAGCACTTGTAGAGCATAATTTTAGACTGCCAGTAAATGAGCAGTTTAAACACTACAAAAATAATGAATAAATTAAAAACAAGGGTGATATACTGTTTCCTCCTATACTCAGTCTTTCTAAGTCCACATACTGTGCAACGTACTACTCAAGGCTGACGCCTGTGGTCTCCCTGCCGAGTCGGCCTCCAATTCTGCGCTTTGCCATTTGTCATTACTGCTTGTTTTCCATCTGTGTGGTTGATGTGGAGCCAACTCGAAATTCCCAAATGAGATTTTATGGCTTCTAAGTATGTTGAATGTAGTTTAAATGTCATATCACACGACTTCAAGCTTTAACAATCGCTCATTTAGTAATTATTATAGGCATTGGATTTTCAAATTTACTTTAGTTTTCCAAAAGAGGCCCTCTTTTTCCCTCTCTGTTATATGTCTTACCATTTTGTTTATTTAAAAATAGGGAGAGATTCTTTAATGCAAGAGATTTAAATAAGGAAGTCAAATATTCACTTACTAATTTCATAGGATTCCATGCTTTCATGAGATTCTGGAATGAAACAGAAAAGATTCATTATATTGTTATTTATCACACAACTGCAACAGTCTAAATGAAGGGACAGAAGGACAGGGAAGAGTCAAAAAGATGTGCAGAATATATTTAGCAATGTGGTCATTACAAATTTCAGGAACTTAGGATGCATGGGGCGTTTCCCTAGCTCTGTCCTTGCTGTGGCGATCTCTCTACATTTTTGTTTCCCTGTTGTTGAAGGAGGCAGTGATCAGGCTTGACTAAAATTTCCCAAGGGCTATGAGGTCTTCAGACAAGCAAAATAAGACATTTTAAATAGTGCACAGAAGTTTCCAGGGAGCCTTCCTGTCTGACTCACTCAAGGCCTGTTTGAGGACAGGGTCAAAGAAGGTGCAGGAAGGTCCAGAAACAGCCAGGATGCTCAGTGGGGCTTTAGCAGGACAGCTTTCTGGGAGGGTTCCGGAAAGCCTCTTAAGAGCCCCTGTCAAATTGGCAGCAACAGAAACCACTGGCTCCGGCTGGCAACTCACGCTGGGCACAATGCCAGTGCAGAGAGAGAACTGAAAGGATGTCAAGGCAAAAGCTTCCCTCTTTCTACCACTCTCCTCAGCACAACAGGTAAATTTGGGATTAGGAGGCTTATATTTGTAAGCTAGTGAATTTGCTTGAAAAGTTAAAACGGAAGGGAAGAAATCAAATCCTCCGATACTGACCATTTGTGAATCATTTCAAGAGTAAGAAGCATAATCTTTAGGGTTGTAAATGTAATTTATGCTTCAAAACAGCTAAAATATCCAGGTAATTGAAGCATAAGGCTGAATTAAGTAAATGATTTTGCTTCAAATTCCCTTTTAAAAGCTTTGAACAAACACATCTTTAATGACATATAGAAACCAGGCAAAGTTTATTTTCTGACAACAGAAGTTATGAAATTGAATTTTTTCCTGAAATTTTTTAAGTATGAAACTATTTTAAAATTAGTTCACTGAACAAATGTAGTCAGTTCATGATATTGTCCTGTATCTAGAAAGAGCTACGCTTTATTCTTCACAAGAAAACTGATTTTTCTTAAAGTGATTCAACCCTTAACCCATTGATACCAAAGTCTAAATAAACATCCTTGAAAATGAGAATGCAGGGGCTGGGAATCTGATATCTTCTTTCTGAAATATCTAAGTTTCTAGGTATACAGAGACTTACCACTGAAAGCATTTGTCTGTTAAGTTGCTGCAAAAATCTATATATTTAGGATACAAAAAATACTTGATGGAATAGATCAGTGTCTGTGGAGACTGGGAAATGTGAAATTAGTGGTATTTTAAGATTATAGCAGAGAAAGGAGGAAGAAGAGGAGGAGGGAGAGGAAAAATCAAAGTAAACTGAAGTTAGGGGCAGAGAAGAAAACTCAGGGAAATGGCAGGGAAAGTTTCTCACCATAACACAAAGCCGCCACCGCTAAGGCAGCCAGGGTGGTGAGGAGGAGCAGGGTCTTCATGGTCTCGCGTTTGTCCTGCGGGTCAGTCTCAGGGTCCCGAGTAGCAGCAGTCGGGAGAGAGGCTCCTGCACACGGTTGGTGGAAGGCGGTGAGGTTTTTATAAGAGCCAGAGCAGCTGAGAGGGGAGGAACCAGTGGCAGGGGGCCAGAGAAGGTGGGGAAGGGTTGGCACTGAGCTAGCACTGGGACTTTTCCCAAATAGTCATTCCTTCCAGATATTATCTACTCCGGGTGGGCACTTTTCCCTCACTCCTGGACCGGACTGGGCTCCAGCAGGATGCTGCCCTGGTACAGACTTTGTGGCCACCTTATGTTTGGGGCCAGACCTGGGCAAAGGTCCACAGAGAAGGGAGTTGCCACGAACACGTGTTTTCCTTTCTAATGCCCTCTCTGATCTACCCTCCTGGCCTTGACTGCGGGACTTTTGGTCCACAGACAGAGCTGCAGTGTTCTGCTCGCTGCCCTGATGAATTGACAAGAGGTTTTGGGGCAGAAAGGAGTTCACTTTCTATGCTGGCTATGATTTAGACATCTGCCAAGTAGGGCTGAACTATCAATCCTAGACCAATCAGACATTTGCCTGGGGCACCTTTGGCTTTTTTCCAAGGGTTCGGTGGGGTAGAGATGTTCAGTGGTGACATGAGTTCTGTTTTCTTAACTGGTTCCATTATAACTTGCCCGTCCAGTTAGTCCCAGCCTGTGCCCTAATGCTCTCGCCGGCAGGATATCATTGATCAAAAGTGCAGCAAGGATAAGAGGATACTCCTCTCTCATTTTCTGAAGGCTTTGTCTCGATAATTAACTAATTCAACAAGCTTTTAGTGAGTGGCAGATGAGACAGATGCAAGGTACCGTGCTAAGTGCTGTGAGGATCTTCGGACAAACAAGACATGTCCCTAAGGAGGTGAGTAATAGCTACTCACTATTCACTTTGCTCTTTAGCTGTAAGGTATCCTCAAAGAGGTTTTCACAAGCGTGCACTTTGACTCTGCCCTCAGGCACACAAGTGCCCGTTCTTTTCTTAACAGGAGAAAACCTTTCCTCTCAGATTTGTCTTGGTTGCTTGGGTATCTAAGAGTCTTCTTTGCAGATAACGGACTTGAGTCTCAGAGCAGCAGACTGTAGAAGAGCTACAGCTCAGGACTGCTGACTGTTGGGCTGGGCTGGGCGTGGGTGGGTGTACTTTTCAACACTGATGTATTTCAAGGAACAGTAACGAACAACTGCGTGCAGCCTCCTGCTTCATTTTGTCTGTCTTATTGGAATAAAGTTTCCCTCTCACTTCCATCCTGTGGAGAACATTTATAAATATTAAAGGATTCCCCATTAAAGGAAACAGCTCTGTTGTAATCCGAAAGGTTAGGGAGCTCTGAGGGATCAATAAAATTCAGGTTTACCCTCCAAATTTTTTCATGTTAAGTGATAGATTCTTTGTGATCAAATCTTAGCAAGGACCTCAAAAAGAAGACAATGTATCTTCATCTCTGTTAAATTTAATTATCACAATTTCCACTAATGACATGAGTGGTCGCTCCCCTCTTTAAATCACAAAATTGTTCCCAGTGTTACCTACAGTGTCCTTTTCTCAAGATGAGTCACCCAAATCATTACACTATCAATAAATAATTTAAAGAGCGAAAGCCAGTTTACTACATTGCATGGTTTTAGGGGAACAAGCTAGCCATGGATAAGCATTTTATGTGTACTCAGCTTAGTCATTAACCCCCAATTAACATAACATCAAACAAGTTTAGTTCCAATGTTTCACCCTTAAAATGAGTAGGCTACTCATATCCCCACCCCGCCTCCAGAATTAGAATTCCCTGCCTTTTCCTGCTACAGACATGTGCTTTGTAATGCACATTAGTGCTGTCTTTTTCAGCCAGGTTCCAGATGTCTCTGCTATCCCCAAGTTCAAATGGCAGCTGTGATCTTTCAGCCTTACGACATTTATTTTTACGTTCTCTGCAACCAAACTTGAAAATCTTACTCTTCTCCTTCCAGCTTAAGCTTCACCTTTTATCGCAAGTAGTTTTTATCACTGCTTTCAGTGAATGCCTTCAATTTTTAAATGTTTCTCTTTAACATGGTTTTTGCAAGGCTAACACTTTATTGCAGGAGCTGTCTTTCACCAGCTGCTCATCTGTCTTTCCTGTCCACTGCTCGCCATCTATTCTTGGGTTCTTCCATGCTAAATAGCATTTCTATATGACACATAAAAATTATTAACATGTATGAGAATCCAGAGCCTTTCTTTTTCTCTTTTCTCACATCACTCCCAGTCTCAAAGACAATTTTGTAGATGCTGACTACAGTCATATGTTTTTATGATAAGGACTTGTACTAATTCATAAAGCAGGGATAGGGGCTTTGCATTGGAAAGGGCCAAGACTGGCTCATCTGAGAGAAGAGAGAAGGAAAGAATGGAGGTAGAAAAAAAAATGGATGGGGAGAAATGAGGAGAGCCTTGCAGCTTTGGTTTGCTAGGTGAGTTTTAGGTAGAGATTGAGTTAGAGAGAGAAAAACTGCGAGGCAGCTGTAGGAGGTGAGACATATTAAAAGTGT